TTGCTATGTTAGGGACTGAATGTTGAAAATCATCAATCCATAAAAGGTCCAACTTTTTCTTGAGGAAAAATGGTTTAAGACCTATTTACTTTAAGTCCTAATAATAAGATCTATATATTGTCAATAGCCACCCACATTTAAGACCACAGTGGATGAAGAACCTACAGGCTGTAATTTGGGAAATTGGACCCTCATTACATAAGAAGCCATTCAGTCTGAAATTTGGAACAGGTTCTCATATTTTGTACAATGTAATATCAACCCAATTAAATTACGGTAATTCAAAATGTAGCCATTGTATGAGAAAAATGTACTTCACTACAATACTTATTTGATATAGTTATTAAGTTTCCTATCACTAATCTAAAAATCCAGTTCCCACTTAGTTCCAGTATGATAAGACATGCTGTTTAGTGTAGTTGTAGTCTGAACCCCTAAATAAAATGACAACCTGATACAAAAATAGGTTTACTAAGGTTGTGAATTATTAAGGACCTAAACAGCCTGATTTCTCATTAAACACCCAATATATAATTATTAAGAACCTATTTAGGCTGACTTGTTCAAATGTAGGTTCTTATACATGGGTGATTTAAAAGGCATTCTTCTCATTAGAATCAAGTACATGTAGATGAACTGTCAGGTTCATAATTTCAAGCATACCACAGAAGACATAGCTTAATACAAATTTCATTACTGCCAACATTACCCCTAACTACCCCTAAATGGGTCATGAAAATTCCTATATTAGTCATCAGAATGTTGTGTGCATGAACTGGCCGCCGTAAAGTGCATTGTCACTGCCCCCTTAATTTCCTTCCCACATTGATAACAAAAACCTGTTTTACAGGCCCAACATTTTAGATGGTTGTTGTTATTGTTCTCTTTGAGACACTTCTGATGACAACGGGGACACAATTTAGTCCGTAGTGTTCTCTTTGGGTTGGCCTTTCTGTACTCTTCAATCATGGTTTCTCCGACTGTTGGCTCCCTTGGTGCTGGTTCATGGAATATTCTTCCACACTGTCCAAAGTGTTCATATCCTGAAATTGCCCTTCCTAGAACACATAAGAGGAATGTTGTTACTAGACCAGCCAAGTATATGGTAAAGTAAATTACAATCCTTATAGAGGAGGCCATATGAGCCTTAGCTGATTTCATGTGGGTCCTCGATCCTGGTCGAATTTTAATTTACAAATGTTGGTTTTTGTGGAGGGAGGAATACTGGAGAACCTGGACAAAAAACCCTCAGAGGAATGCGAGAATCAACAGCAAACTCAACCCACATAACACAACAGGCTGGAATCAAACGCAGGCCACATTGGTGGGAAGCGAGTGCTCTCTCCACAGCACCATCCCTGCTCCCCATAAAGTAGGTGATGAAATTATTCTGTTACATCCATAATTGCATGCAAAAAGTTGACCTTCCCAGATAAAAAATAACTATTGGCTACTGCTGTAACAGTATGTACTGAACTACTACTGGTATACACGTTAATAAAGTCAGTTTTATCATTGATGTTTTTTGAAAAATAACTTATTGGATAATAATACAAAAATTGCATTTTCTATATGCACAATTCTTTACACAACTTTTGTTATTAAGGAAATGATGATAATTCATGATCTATGAAATATGAGTGGATCCAATATTTTATCAAAGGAGTTTTGTAGGTATGATCACCAGCAACAGCATAAGTTCCTAAGAGGGGACTGGTGGGGAATGCCTCTCAAAAGCAAGGCAAATACAAACTGTCAACTTATCTTTTTTTCTTAGGGGGGAGAGGCTTGTGCCGTGGGGCAAATCCCACATAAAAAGGACGGGGGTGTTCATTGGAAATTTTGAAAAGAACCCCTAAGAGGTACCAAGATCCTGTGGAAGACTGGGCATGTCTTGAAATGTTTTTCACCCCTGTGAGGTACCAATTCTAAAATGGCACATTACATTGTGTATCTCTTGTCATTGTTAATCAATAAATAATAATCACTTTATTTA